TTTACGCCGAAAATAATTTGTTTACTCATTTGAGGCATCCGCGATCTCAAAGATGATAAACCAGGCACGACGAGACAGTTTCATACTCTGAAGTGTTTTGGCTGTCCGCTGTACGGCTATTGTGTTTCACTGGGTTTTGTTTTGTCATTCGCTGATGTATATTATTCATGAATTAATTATTGGGACTGGGTGCAGTGCAGATTATACTATGAGGATTCTCAAGGTGATTTATCTGCTTCTCTGCTCATAGAAAAGGCTGATCGCCGTGCTGAGACAGCTTATGGGTAACAGTTCAAAACAATATCGTCAACAATACGACAATAACAGTAGTGACTATAATGACAGTTTTAATAATAATAATCATCATCATAATAATAACAATAACATAAGACAAATAGCGATAATAATACTAAATAATGACATTGTTGACTCTTTTGTTGAAAATGAAAAGAGCAATGTTATGTCCTTATTTGCCTTATTCATAATATTTGTTGCTCACATTCATCTCTATTATGTGCTCATTCAACTTAATCATATTATTCCCCTCATTTAATAAGGTTGAATACGATGGATTAGATGAATACAGAAGAACAATTATTACAGAAGTTTTGGTGAAAAAGGAGCAAATGCATCGTAAAATGCCTGACAGTATCAGATGCCGTTCTGGCTGCAAGCAAAATCTCATTAAGTGAAAGGCTTTCATATTTTTTGAATACTGTGAAATCTTCGTAATTACGAGATACTGAGTGTTAAAAATTCAGTTTTAAAACGAAACAAAGCATTTATACCAATCCGTGATCAAACTTGAGCAAGCTGATTAAACCACTACAACGACTGAGATGGGGAAGTAGATCGAACAATTTGAATGAAACAAATTTCACGAGCACTTCAAAATTCACTAGCAATACAATCAGTCGATGATGCGTAAATGAGTGTTGATTTCGTTGCACACCTCATCCTTTCGACTTCTTTGAAATGAAGATAACAAAATCTCTCAGTTGATAGGGCTGAAATAAAGATAATATGAAAAAGCATATCGAGTATCGGCGTAAAACACTGCGGAAAAAACTTCAGCTTTCGCATCCACAGTAAACAACAACACACAGCTCCGCACTCCGCTACAGTTAGTCATCACATCGAACGGAACGGTCTGGTGATAGCTACCCATCGGGAAATGTTATTTTAAGCTTCAACGAGCTAGGTCAAAACCGGGGTAGCGTCTGAGATCAAGTTTTGTTCACATTATGATCGGCCCCTCATATTCTTTAATGAGAAAAATCTAGAACATTCACGATCCACAACCTTATTGCGACGAAAAAAATTCCCAGCTAATGGCTTGCAATGAATTAACATCTGCCTGAGACATAAATCTATTTTACATGGATTTACATGTAATTTTGAATCTTATAACGAGAGGCGATTGAAAAAAACCACAGGATGAATTATTAAGCAGAAGAAACCTTTTAAGCTTTTCAAATGAATAGATTTTTTGCTCATCTAAAGAAGACCTAGCCACTAAGCATGCTAATACTTCCTCACATTTGATGTCCTCAATGAGAAGAATTATGCTCACACGAAACGTCACCAATCAAAAAAAATCTCCATATAATGACTTTTCCTCATCGGATTAACGAGTTCATTTAATGTGTCATTCCCTTTGCTGCAAGCGTGCTAGTGCATAATTTTTTACGCTCACCTCACATTATTAAAGCCATCTGTAATCAGCAACTGCTTCTAAGCAGCAAAGCGCAGTACAAAGAAATCTTTTCTTCCACTCAACTTCACAACAACAATGGAAAGGTTCTCATTTGTTCACACCTCAATGATCTGGAGACGTTCTCGAGAACGTTTTCTTTAAATGAAAAGAGTAACGAAACCGAAACTGAACACTCAAGCATTTCAATGCAAACAATACTATTGAAGTTTAAATTCATCCGTTGATAACACTAAACATTTCTGACGCTTTATAGAGTGTACTTGTAAAGTGAGACTATGTCAGAATTTTCCATCAAAAGAAATAAATCTTTCGAAATCCACGAGATTCGGTGCAACGAATTGTCAATTTTATGTGGTTTCCGTGGAGTTGAAAATCAAAAAATTATGACCTAGTGATCATAATTCACTCAAATACAAATTGATACGGTCCAGTAGAGATCAATTGCAGGTTAAAAGGAGCTGATTAACAATTCAATAGTAGAATTTGATGTTAAACTCTTACCTTTTCATGTCGTTTTCTGTAAATGTTTCTGTTTTCGTGGAGGACCAAAGCCTGTAAAATATTTGTATTTTTTAACCTGGAATGTGAAATAGCACAGTTATCCGCTTTATTCGAGTTTTTCCGCAGCGAAATGCACCCAATTCAGCGTTCGGGTAGTTTTCGAATCCTCGGAAATGCCAAAATGAAATGAGTTTCATTGCAGTTTTTACGTTGGAATTATGGAAAACTTGTTACGTAGACACACAGAATATTTCTGTCAGACCCTTGAAACACTTCAGAAAGATGGCATCTAACCTGGCGGATGGGGTTGCTTCTGTCTAGAGTCTCCACTTCTCCGTATTTTTATTGAGCCGCCAGGTGGAGGTGTTAACTTGGCTGGAACGTCCTCGGAATCTTCCTCATCCGAATCGTATTCATACGAGTCAGAGTACTCATCGTCGTCATCTTCATCATCAACCTCATTCTCTAATGCAACCAAATTCGGAGATCGTGAGCTTCTAATTTGGTCCTCCTCCTCCTCATTTTGACTCGATGTATCACTATCGCCGTTACTATTCTCATTTTCGGTGCTTTCCACGATGCCCAATGCCGTTTCCAAATCACTTATCAGAAGCAGTAACAACGATGAAACCAGAAACAAGCATGTACCCATAGTACACTGAAGAGTGCTCAACTGAAAAGATAAACCTTCATTTACTCGAATCAGCTTCCAGAGACCATGTGAATGACCAAGAAATACAAGTTCAAGTCGAGTGGCGAGGTGAATAAAATTCACACTTTATATACAAATCACATCTACAAAGCCTATTCTAATAGCGATATCAAATGCATCACGACTAAGAATTTATCATGACAATTGGAATATCCCGTTTGAGAATTTGATCTGAATCAACATTTTGAACAAATCGACATTAAATCAACAGACTGTGAACTGGACGAATGGCTGCTGAAGGAAGCACTGAAAATTATGAATGAAAGTTTTTGAAATTGTTTTTATTGCGATCGCAAATCGCAAAAAAAAATGAAATGAGCGAGCGACTATGCACAATAATTAGCCGAGCGAGCATCACGCACTAGTTTTATGAAGCAATTCGAATGTGCGTCAAAAAATTGCTGATCTGTTGTGAGCAGCAACTAAACTTCGATACCACAGTTCCACTTTTTAAGAAGAAACAAAAAAGTTTCCACGAAGAAATGACGAGATGAATTTGGATAGCCGAATGTCATTCATTCATAATGGTTCAGTTGATAGTCAAGCACATTCTTCACGATCTCATACGCTCATCAATCTTGATCGCTCATAACAAAATTCATAATCTAAACAATCAACGCTCGATTGATTCTCTTCAATCTGTCAACAAACAAAACAACAGTTGCGAAACAACTCAAAACCAGTTTTAAGGATTGGCGAAGACACAGAATAATCATAGCAATAATAATTGGATTAGGATAACTTTCTTTCCGATGACATTTAAGAAGCGATTTTCTATGAAAAGAAATCCTTTGATAGAAGGTGTTGGTATTTATTGAGGAGTTTGGTACATTACTGTTGACTTAGTCTTTAAATAACACTTCAATGATTGTTCAATAATGTTTTGAACGTGATTCTATTTTTTTGTTGAAAGTTTATCGCAAGGAATTGATTCCTCCGATTTGACTAACAATAAGGGATAATTGATAGCTAATTAACTGAGTACCATTTCAAGCTGAAAAGCAATGGACTGTCAGGGGATAAAGGGAATGTGGTCGGCCATATACAAATTTTTGAATTTTCGGTTTCATAACTCTTGATATTGATTGGAAGTAATGATAGAAACCGGTATAACAAACCGCATGGTCGATCTGAAGGGAAGTGATGATTTGATGATATTGAATTTTTATTCTCAATAGTTCTTTAGAAGAATTAGTGTTAAAACAGCGGAAACATAATCGGGGCTCACAAATGGAAATACGAGATAACGAAGTATTTTTGAATGGGACTGAGCTATGAATTGAAAACGTCTTCTGAACGGACGGAATCTAACACAGATCTTCCAAAGAGATCAAATATTGGTATGAACAGCGGGAATAATGATACGATGATTAGAACAAGTAACATTGTGAGATTTTTAAATAGCAGCAACATGTTATGCAAAGCTGTAGTCGTGAGCACATTATCACTGACCAACGATTTCATTTCACTCCCAAAGGTGCACATGGCGAACGAAAATTCTATTTAAAACACTGAAACGAAACTTTCAAATCAAACTACTTAAACTAAGAAGATAAATCTTTAACAATTGAAATTCTATTAAAAATTGAGCTGAAGTTCTTCCCGTTCTCTCCATCAGGTTACACCGGGAAGGGTCGCTCCCCGACGAGCTATGACCTCGGGGCAATTTACTGCCGGACTTCTTTGACGGGGAACCCCCCTCCCCATTTTTTTCCACGCGAGATCTCCCCAGTCCAAACAACTGCTCCTTGACGAACACCATTCCAAACACGACTCCAAACTACCCCAAACAAACACATCAATCTTTTTAGCAGTCTTATGATGCGGATGCACAAATTATTTGCAGATTATCATGTAGCATTATTATGAGTGCAAAATTGTTTGAATCATTGAGGTATACCGGTTAATTCAGGTTATATGAATGCCCAAAAACAAATAATTAACCATCTTCATTCAACAATAAATTCAAAAAACGACAATACAATCTGCAAACGTTTTTACTCACAAAATACAAAGGCAATTTCGTATTTTCCAGCGGTTTCCACAGCACGAATGAGACCTTCTTCAATCACTAATCACGATTCCACAATATGTTATTCGGCAAATTCGTAACGATTCTTAGCAGAATGAGGTAAATTTTTTCACTTTTCTTTCTTCAATGCGCGAAATTTTCACGAAAATAATTTCCACTGAGTGCCTTTTTCTTGATCAATTCAATAGAAAATGTGGAATTTGATGAGAATTTTTCCATGCTAATTGTAAGTTCACCATTCACCAGTTAATGAGTCCCGATAAATTTCTTCTTTTCGAAATGATGGTGCTTCTGACAGTCTAGTTCAGTGACAAAAAATAAGAGACTACATCGGAGCACTAGTTTCGAATGAAGACGATAGCATTTATTGGCTCAATTATTTGAAAGTACTCGATTTTTTCTGCGGTTTTCTGATCCTTTCTTAATTAAGCGGATACAAAGGGCAATTTCGTGATGTCGTAAGGTCTTAAAACGCATCTCACAAATGAAATACTCTTTTCATAGTCTATTCATCATATCAGATGGCTCAGTTTCCAGGCAACTGATGAGTTGTAATTTCGAGAAACAGTGAGTATGAACGAGATAGCTCACACATGGTCTCGCACGGCTCGCCAATGGACTCATCTAGCTTAGAGCTCATCCTGTGTTTAATTCTAGCATTCCCGAGGGCAGCAATGTTCTCTTATCTCTTATCTTTTCGATGAGTGAAAGACAATGCTTGTTCATATCACTCGAAAGTACTTATTCACATGTCAGGAAGGTTCAACAAAACTTTTTGAAATGAATGTTTGAGCGGAAATTCATCAAAGATCCGACGTTTTGACGATAACGAATGCGAATAGCGATGTATCTCAACTGATGCTCTTTATTTTTCGAGCGCAAAGGTCGCAAAATTATCGGCTGTGATATTTCAGTTCGTTGATGAGAACAAATTCCATATGAATCTATACTGAATTAGCTTATTAATTCTTTATTACCAATTAATTTCTTTATCAACAAAAAAAACCACTTACCTTACACTGATAGCAATTGTTTCCCATCTGAATTTTCACTTCGCTTCCAATCGAGATTCATCAATCCACTCGGAAGATCTCCGTTTTTGAAACTTCCAAAACAACGCTCTCCTTCGTGTGATCAAATCTTATAAGAGGAATAAATTAGAATTTCATTCAGTGGTGATAATTCAATGTCAGTTCAACTTTAAAGGATTTATAGCAGTAACTATATGCTGAGTAGTGCTATTGATGTGAGTAGTAATTCATTGTTGGTGAAGAAAAGTAAAGAATACATCATTTTTTACAGAGACTCAAGGGTAGCTGCTTTAAGGGTAATCGAATAAAAATGGAAGTAATGCGTGATGCGCATACCAAGTTATTGGATAGAATTAGTATAATCAATATTCATACCCACTCGTTGCTTTGTTTTTTCTAACGAAAAAGAAAATGAAAATGACTCGAAAAAAATTCTGATCTTAGTGGTTTTCTCGAACGTAAAACTGCAGATTTGGGATCGTTCGTGCAACTTGATGTTTGAGCTTGATGTTTCGAATAGTGCTCATTGTAAAATTGAAGTATTCATTTTCTAAATCTGATCCTGATTAACGGAATTGGAATTCAGTTTCAAATATGTTTGAAAAGTTATCAGTTTTAAAACTGACTGTTAAATTTAGCGGTGTTGATTTGCTGCTATCCTAATGCTTCATATTTATGAATCGGTCGAGAGTAAATGTCGATATGGCAAATGTTAGCGACTTGTATATAGTCATTCTCAGAATATGTCAATTTAAATAAGGAAAGTGAACGTCAGTTCAAAAAGTTATCGAATTCAGAAGGGTGATACGAAAGAGCTGTGAGCATGAATAGAGGCGTGATTAAATGCAAATTTGGTTATCGCTGAATTTCCGTTCAAACGCATCAGCATAGAGAACCAACAAAACTATACAACGTTCACTAGTAAACCCTAAGAATTTTGCCTGATATAATTCCAGCCACATTCGTTTTGAGTGTAGCAATTCGATTCGATTCGAGACATTTCTATAATACGTTTGAAAGTAAACCTAATCAAAATTTGAGCGTCGCAATCTCGTGTATTATGCTAATTTCCTCCACAATACTCTCTGTGCGGCTGGTTATGTTCCAGCTCTCTGAGCCAAGCAATCGATCACATCACGATCATAACTGATTCATTACTTAACGATTTTGTTGTTTTTTGACTAACGAACGGCTTAAATCATGGATGAACGGGATAAGATGGCTGGAGAGGCTCGCCAGACATCGTCGGATAAGAGGGTAAGAGACAAGGAATTATGGAAGATAATAATATGGTGAGAACGAACACATTCCGTATAATTTGATTTATATTCACCTATCAACAGGAGGAGCAATTTTATTAGAGCTGAGAGGTCTTATAACTTGCATGTTTTATTTTCAATCATTCGATGATCACCTAAAGACCGCCTTCTTTTGCCATTATTCATCTTCTCAGAAAGAATTTACGTCTCATCTAAGCTTCTTCTATCGCCCATATCCTAAGCCTCACTCAGCTGATGCAGAAACTATTCATCTGAACCAATCAAACCTTGTGATATTCCTGTCAGCAATGTATTTTTCCATAAATTGAAAGTGTGAATTCGAAAGCGTTCGTATCAAAGCAAACGAGCTTTCACATGGAATCTCGGGATTGTACGATTCGTGGTGATTAAGTTCTATTACTCGACGTCACATCCAACGTTCTTATCAAATTTTCACGAACATCTTCATCTGATAATCTGAAGTGATGCGATCCACTACGACGGTTCTGATTCAGTTAATATTCACCCTGAAACAACACGTCAACAGTGCTATGTTTTATAAAATTGGTAAATTTGTTGAGTTGCAACGCTTGATTTTATCTTTTGTTCATCCTAATG